ACCCCCGCTTCTCCTTTTGGCAAGAAGAGCCATTCTCCTCCCCAGCTGCTCCTCGCTCTTCCTCTGCCCCTTGCACGTCTCCCCTGCTCTCCCCAAGTGTTGCCCTCTCTCGCTGCATGGCTGAGAGCCCCCGCTGCTGGAGCTGCACCCTTTCAGTTACAGTTATGGGCAGTTCGCAAACGCAAGTCGTTTTCTGCCCAAGAGAAACTGACCGGCTTGAAATGGTAAACCTCGCTATACCGCGACCGTGCATTTATCGCGATCTAATTTTTTGGACCCCAATCATCGTGTTATAGCGGGGTTTCACTGTACATTTTGTATCTGTCATTCCTAAAAATAAAGTGATTACCTCTCTCTTTGTAGTCACTAGGTGAAGGGAACAGAGATGCCCTGTTTTCAAAACATCTCATCTTATTCTGTTAAAGCAGTTTTCTTTAAAATATTGAATTGTTTCACACACTTGTAGGTTTCATTTTCCTTTCTTTAGAAGACAATTAATATACAGTTTGTTTTCACCATATGATAATGTGTTTTTAAAGAATCACAAAGAGATTCTAGAACTATAGTCAAGCTTTAAAGTATCCCAGCTTGGCTACAAGTGACATGTGCTCAGACCAATTTATAAAGAAATGGAACAATTTATAAGCATGCTCCAGCTGAAATTAGTCTCTATGGCAGTTGGCCCAGGGAAACTCTGTGGTCCTTCTGTGCTTTGCAGCTGCAGAAGATAATTGCAAGTCTTAAGGGGAATTATCACCTTCCAGTAGCCAAGCAAAGAATTACTTAAGTCACTTAAGAACTCTATGATTTCCCCCTTCTTCAAGATAGAGTCCTTAACTCACCCATCACAATTGTCCTTATTGACAAATAAAGCTTGTCTTAGACCATATGCATATTGGGAAAATACCATGTTAGGAAACATTCTAACATGCTCCACTGTGATGCTAAACATAACTTAGCAACTAATGTCACCAGGAACAAGTCATGTTTAAAAGCTGGTTAGTAGGTCATGGTTAATATCAGCTTCTCTTTGGCTGGTGAGATGACAGCCCTCCTCCTGTTTCAATCTGCTCTAACCTCTATTGAAGTTAGTCAGGGACAGCCAGTCATTAGTACAGCATTGGTGGGGAGAAGAGACAACTGCCCAGAAGCACCAATTGAGAATATCCTGTGCCAGATGAAGAGTGAAACAAAAACTGATACAGACAGGATGAAACACAATGCATTCTTCCAAGCCTATGCCGAGGCTGTATTACAGGCCAAGAGAATCTTCCTTTCAGCCTCCATTGAAGCGCCCAAATCCCATCCCAAGGAGCTATCCAGGGTGGTAAACCATTACACTAATCCTGAGTGTCTACAGTCTGCATCAGAACCAACTACTAACAGCTGCAAAGAACTATCATCCTACTTCACTGAAAAGAAAATGCACATTTGGGAAGGCTTCTCAAACAACCTGGATCCACTCCATCTGCACCCACCAATCAATAACATGCATTCCAAGAGTTCAGTATATTCACTCAACATGAAATTCTGGACTGTAAGAGAACCCTAAAGGAGTCTCAACCCAAGACTTTTGAATCTGGTCCATGCCCTTCCTGGTCTGTGAAAGAATCATGGACAATTGGTGCCACTCATGATGAAATCAGCCAATGCCTCCTTCAAGGGAGGAATGTTATCTTCCTCCTTCAAACACATAATTGTATGACCAACACGAAAAAACCCCATCATGGATACATTGGTTCTAGACAACTACTGCCCATGTCAAATCTTCAGTTCCTTAGCAAGCTCAAAGAGAAGCTAGCCAAAGGCCAACTACAATCCCATCTTGAACAAGACCAAGTACAATCTGGATTCAGAACAAGACAAGGAAGTGAAACTACTTTAGTGGCGCTGATGATCTGCTATCAATGGATAGAGGGCCGACATCCATTCATATTCTCTTGGACCTTTCTGAAGCATTTGACTCTGTTGACCATAAGATGCTGCTATCTCACCTGAGTGCTTTGAGTCCTTACTGAAGGGATGCATCCAACAAGTAGCAATGGGAAAATATCTCTGCCACTAGACTGATCACTTGTGGAGTCCAAAAAGGATCAATTCTCTCCTTGGTCCCATTCAACATCTCCATGCAGCTACTAGGTGAACTAGTCAGATGACATGGCCTCAATTGCCAGCAATATGCAGAAGAAACACAGCTCTACCTATCCTTCACAACATATGACCTCACCACTACCAAGATGACCCAGTGCTTGGAGGAGATCAGTTCATGTCTGAAGAACTGGTTGAGGCTGAGCGGGACAGAGCATATGCTGGTGGGCATAGGAAAGCATTCTGAAGAGTTTGCAGCCATGGCACAGTTGAAGGTACACACCCACAACAGGTCAATTCAGTCCATAGCTTAGGAGTGCTCCTGGATTCCTTGCTGACACTAAGCTGTCACCTAGCATAAGTAAGTAAGGCTTTCTGTCATCTCCCGTTAGCTATCCCATCCTGACAAAATATGGCCTCAGTTATACCTTTATCACCTCTTGTCTGGACTACAGCAATGCAATATACGTGGCCATGAAGGCTTCAGTGCTTAGGAAACTCCAACTGGAACAGAATACTGCAGTGTGTCTCCTCAGCAACAAAGGCTACTGCAAACACAGAAGACCTGTCCTCCACTCTACACTGGCTTGCTATAGAATTTTGAATCAAGTTCAAGATCTTGGTCATTATCTTCAAGGTGTTCCATGGCCTGGGCCCAGGATATCTAAAAGAAACAATGGAAATGAAGATTGTGGTTAATAACTCTGTTCCTTTGGACAAGGGAACTTTCTATAATAAGGATAAAACTCATCTGTCCAGGAAACACGGTTTTCTTGGGAACTAGTCCCAGACTGTGGAACAAACTCCCACAGAAAGCAAGGACCATCACAAATCTCACCACCTTCTGCTCCAAGTGCAAGGCACATTTCTTTGACCTTGTGTTCTCTATCATCAGTGTATAGGAGTGTGTGTGTAGTATTATGTGACTTTAACATTCCACTACGCACACTTCTCCTGCTGGGGAAAGGATGACTCATGTGACAGCTTTAGTCACATTGCTTAAAGCAGTATTGGATGGCACTTCTGTCAATGAAAGTAACTTCGGTGTAAAGCCGTCAAAGTTGTTATATCTGCCATTTGTGCACAGCTTGCTGCTTGCATCGGCGCTGCACGTATTAACTAAGAGTGCATGTGTCAACGCAAAGTTTTGTACACCATGGGTAAGCATCCCAGTGTGCTGCATGCTGCCATATGGCACAATGCCTTCTGGGAAGGTTTCACAATGTGTTGTGGGATAGAAATGACTTGCCTAGGAATCTCTGGAAGCTAGGGGTCACGTTCCCTGAGTGCAACTTTCTGCAGCCCATAATGCCATCCATATCCCATACATTTTCTTGCCTTTTTTTAAAATCCCACAAACCTGTGCAGCCCTCCTTGGTGTCCACCATCTTTCACCATAGCATGGAGCCTGCACAGCTCTGCACTATTTTAATGAACATTGCAAATATAATCCAAACAATCCTCCAGTATTTTCAGACCCACAGGAAGAACCGCAACAGTGGGAAACATAATTATTTCTTCGAGGACAGACTATTAAAAAGACATAACAAAAACAATTCAAGGTTATTGATGGTGTTCGTGGTACAGCTGCAGATAGTAGAGAATTCCTTCTGGGCCAAGGAAATGAGCACTGACTGGTGGGATCACATCATCATGCAGGTTTGGGACAATGAACAGTGGTTGCAGAACTTTCAGATGCAAAAGGCCAGATTTTTGGATCTGTGTGCTGAGCTCACCTCAGCCCTCGTGTGCAGGGACACTAGAATGAGAGCTGTATTGACAACTGAGCAGTGAGTGGGGATCACGCTCTGGTAGCTTGCAATGCTGAATTCCTACCTGTCAGTGGGAAATCATTTTGGAATTGGAAAGCCCATGGGCGGGGAGGGGCGTTGTCATGCAAGTGTTTAGGGCCATTAATTATGTCCTGGTATACAGGACTGTGACTCCTGGCAATGAGGACATAGTGGATGGATTTGCAGGAATGGGGTTCCTAAGCTGCAGTGGGGTGTTAGCACTCATATCCCTATTTTAGAACCAGCCCTCCTTGCCACAGAGTACACCAACAGAAAGGGCTACTTTTTTATGGTTATGCAAGCATTGGCGGATCACTGGGGATGCTTCACCGATATCAGTGTGGGCTGGTCAGGGAAAGTGCATGATGCTTGCATCTTTAAGAACACAGGACTGTTCAAAAAACTGCATGCAGGGACATTCTTTCCCAACCAGCAGATTATCATTGGCGATGTTGAAATACCAATAATGATCCTGGAGCTCCTGCCTACCTCTTGTTCCCCTGGCTCAAGAAGCCATATGCTGACCACATTGACAGCACTAAGGACTGATTCAACTACCAGCTCAACAGGTGCAGAAAGACAGATAAATGTGCTTTTGGTAGAATGAAGGGAGGTTGGTGGTGTTTATTCACCATATTAGATCTCAGTGAGAAAAATATCCAAAGGGTTATAACTGTCTGCTGTGTCCTGCATAGTATCTGTGAGGCAAAAGGGGAAAAAAGTTGCTCCTGGGTGGAGGGTAGAGATAGAGCAGCTGTCTGCTGAATTTGTACAGCCAGACAAAGGCGATTACAAGACCTCAATGTGTAGCTAAGTGGTTGAGAGAGGCTTTAAAAAGCACTTTAGTGGTCAGCCACATTAATGTGCTGTTCTGGACTGTGCTCTGGCCCTGAAGATTTGGGTGCTGTTAAGAACTGTTTAGTGCTTGGTGTATATTTTATACATATAAGACTGTTTTTAATAAACCTATGAATTATGCAGTGCTTGTTGTACATTTACACATATGAGGTGTTTTCTTGAATCTCTGAGTTCTGTGGTGCTGTACACTTACAACTGATTGCTTTAAGTATTGCTGTACATTCTGCAGCATGTGTGGTGAACTAATAAAGATTAAAATACTTTTAAAGAATAGAATTTTATTGAGTGACAAAAGCAGTGAAAAAAAAACAAAGCTAAACAAAACCAAAAAAAATGTGCAAATGAAAAAGTACAATATAAACTTCGAACATAAATTAATGCAATGGAACTTTAAAATTAGAAAGGCAACAAATATTTCTGTCCATTTCAATGAATGTGGTCCATTTTTGCTACACATGCACTTCAGCTTGGTGTGGTAGAGGGAAGGATGCCCAGGAGTCCATGTAGAATGTTGGGGGATGTAGGGAGCTGCCACCATGGAGTTCTCCAGGGACCGCAAAGGTGGTAAGACCATGATTGCTGGATCTGCAGGTCAACTAGAGTCTGCAGCATCTGTGTTTGCTGCCTGACAAGTCCCATTATGTCCTGATGCATCTTCCTCTCATGGTGGGAGTCCTGGGTCTTTCTCCATTTTCTTCTGTCCCGCTTCATGCCATCTGCCATGTTGGACCACCAGGATCTTTGTATGCAATCTGATGCAACACTGCCTGCAGGATCTCGCTGAACATATCCTCCCTAGTGGGCTTCTTTCTCCTCCTCCTCAGGATCAGGGATTCTGTGGGTGTGAAGGGGCAGTTGCTACAGATAAAACAGACAGATGTATGATTGGATTTACAGCCACAATGGAAAGTGAAAGATACGTTTAAAAATGGCCTTCCTTTATTCCTATTAAAAAAATGTAAGACATGTTTATTGATGCTTCAGCTTTGGAGTGAATCTGCACAGCTTTCCAGGCACAGATATAGTGAGTAAGGCCTGCAAGAGGCGGCGGGGGTAGGAGAGGAAGAGGGCATTAGATTTTCAGTTGCATCAAACAATAAAATTTCAGTCCCTATTTCCATGGGTATGAGTATAAGGTATGAATACTGGCACTGTTTTCCACAGGCAATGATGATTTTAGCCGATAACTCACTCCTGAGGATAACAAAGGTACAGAGACCACAGCTGCTGCTGGTGTCCCCAAGATGCCTGGGCTCGTATGCTGCTAACCTGTTTCATGCAATGGTGCCAGCCAAGTTGGCCAACCTCATTGTGGAGCGTTGTTGGGAAGTGTCCTATCACAGAGGAAGAAATAAGGCATCCAACCTTAGGAACCTTTGGGAGAAGACTACAGAGTATCTCCAGGAAAATTTCATCAAAATCTCTCAGTAGGATACAAGGGACATCCCTGGATACGATAAACAGACTACTCTGCTTTCTCTCTACCCCCTGCCTAACCCTATAGGGAAATGAAAAGCAGATAACAACTCTACCTCTGTTTATGGTACCACTACCTCTTCTCATACAAGTAAAACAATTAAAAGTTGATACCTGAGTCTTGTTAACTTGGGTATAGGCCAGGTGCCATCTTCACATGTAAACATTGTAAAGGAAAATGCATGCACAGGTTTATCGGAGGTTCCCCTTCATTGGGTTTGGCAGGAAGGACAGGCTAGACTGCAGTGCAGTCTCAATTGGTTCCTCCATGCCACATCTCTCCTCCTTCTTGTTG